GATTATATTTGTAATTTTTGTGAGTTTATGCCCTTGTATAAGTACTTTTCTTCTGTCATCAATAGAATAACATGTCATTTTTTCATATTTTTTAGATTTCCTGCTTCTTGCATCTCTCTTTCGAACTCTCCATAGCACTGTTGATCTCGCTTTTGATCTTATTAAAATTCTCTCATTTCCTTTCAGTTTTCGAATAAAATTTGATTCCTTACATAATCTAATAATCAATGATAACTTGGCTCTCTACTTGGAACCTTTTTCTCATATTGACTTGATCAATTGAAAGATAACAGTCTTGCTACAACTTAATGACAAGAGCATGCAGCACTCACATACAATTGAGTGATAAAATTAGGGATAAACCATGGCATGGCGTGCTCAACGACCAATCAATCTATGGTTTTAAGTAGTCCTTGTGACAGGTCATGCACCCAATATGCTCATGTACCCCACTCTCAAATTCATGGACAACGTAACCCAAGTCCATTGCCCTTGTCAATGCACTTGAGAAAATTAAAGGGCACAACTAACCTCTAACATCCACGCCCCACATTAATTAATTACATGTTTTAATCCATGCATCTTTTTTCCAGTGTGCAAAGAGCTTTCTTTTTCAAAAGTGGTCATAGTTTCATCGACCATAATTAGATCATGTTAACCTGGAGGCTACAGGATTCTCTAGCGCAAGCACATATAATCAAATACTTGGAATGGATATAAGAATCAGGACCATTATGATAAATCCTAAAAATCCAGGATGCATATTTTAGCATTGCATTCCCAGTCAAACATACCAGCAAACAGAAGATACTGATGCAGAATCCTTAGGATCATAAAAAACAAACACCCATCATGAACAATAGCCTCAGGCAGCTATTCATGAATTTGTGATATCTCGAGCCTGAGTTATAGTTACATTCAGTATCAAATAAAAACTGTTATTTTCTTTTCCTTTTTCCTCTCAGGGATCAAATCCCGTTCAGATAATAGCACCATTGAGCCTACTCAGCCTTACTGATGACCAGCACATAATCAACAACAAACAAATCTAAATACCAGAAATAAGTTTCTCAACAAGCAAAATTTCTCGATAGCAGCATGGGGAGGGGGAAGGAAACAACTTAGTTAAAATCAGGCTTTTCTGGGTATGTGCAGCCAGACCTTTGGATGATGACATTGGACGCGTATATGCCAGCCCTCACACATTCCTCAATGGGATTTCCCTGAACCAATTGTGAAAGAAACCCTCCAACAAATGCATCACCTGTGGGAAAAGAAAAAAACACACGTTCCGTTTGTATTCTTCATAGTTCGGAAATTTTCCATCCCAACTCAGACTTTCAAGAGAGAGGGGAATTCAAATACCTGCTCCATTCGTGTCAACAAGTTTTTCTTTTGGTAGAGGTATCACAGGGAACTTCTTCACCTTCCCATCCTCAGCAACAACCACAGGATCTGCTCCCTGAGTTATAAGAGTAGTTCTCTTGTACGTTCCTGATGCTTTAGGCCACTGGGAAATCTTCAGAGCTATCTCCTCAATATCGTCAGTCTAGACAAATAAACCTCTAAAAGATTATTATTAAAAAATAATTTGACAGTTCAATAGAATTCCTAAATTCTCAATAGCCATTACCTCCCAGCCATGAACTCTTGAGAAAGTTCTTGCTTCTGTCTCATTGCCAAAGACAAAATCCATATATCTGAACACCACATAATAAGGCATGCTCTATTTTAACATGTGCATGTGTATAGACAGACTTTTTTGAGAAAACTAAAATTAAACACAGGAAAAATACACATTTGAATGTTGTGCAATGTAAAATGCTTACGGCAAAGCTTTTTCCTGCGCATCCTTGAAAAACTCACAGATAAATGGAGCAGAGAGGTTCATTGTGAAGACCTACAATTATTGGAAATATGTCAGGCCTCTTATGCAAAAGCCAATAAAACAAGAACCAGAAAGGAGTATGTTCCAGTCACATGTCACATTATAGACCTTGTTATTTTTAGCTGCATGTTCAGCAACAAGCTGTATGGATTCTGGGGATACGGTGAGAAAGAATCCAGCAATGTAGATAAACTTGGCCTTTTCAACTGGAAATATAAATCTCATGTCATGAATAGAATATGTAACCAATAAAGGGCCAAAACTAAATTGGCCATCCTAATCATTCAAACAATATTCACAAGCTATGCAAAAGATCAACTAAAACATCAGTATGGCAAAGCTAGAAACCAGAAATTAAAAAGACAGGAAATACCAAGTGCCCAGTTCTCTGGCCTCTTCAAATGCTCAAATTTGTAACAATTTGCAGCCGAAAGATTTGCAATAAGTGACCTAGAAAGACAGTTTATATATTTAGCAATAGCCCAGCAGACTAAAAATTTAGGACCACTCCCATTAACTTATTCAATCTCTAATAAGGTAAATATGTGTCAAGTGCACCTTTCACCACCTACAACACAAACAGCACATGTTCCAGTAGGTGCAACCTCATCTTCACAATAGTGGACCTGAATTTTAATGTGGATTAGACAATACCATCAATTTTAGCAATCAGGAAAAACAAAAATAAGAAACCATGGAATAAGGTCAGGGTCAATGCTTTTTTTTTTGGGTTAAAGGTAACAAGAGACGAGGGAACAAATACTGAAAGGAAAAGAAGCATCATGTCTCTTTTGCAGAAAAGTTGCATTTGTTAGTTTATGCATAATACATTATGGATAAACAGTGACATTCAGAAAAGGAGGAACAACATACATTTACACCAGCAAGTTTGGCATTCTTCTTCATTTCCCCACCAAACTTGTCTTTCCCAATGCAACCCATGTAACTAGTTGCCCCTGGAACTTGAAGCAGCCACTGTGAGAGGCAAAGACAAAGTTACTCTAGTATAACAATGAATTTTAGTAAAAAAATTGTCTTCTCACTCCTCTTATTTATGTTTACAAAATGACAGCATACCTGAGCCACTTTAATTGAATTTTGAGTAGCACCTAAAACACAGAAAATTTCAAAGAATTTGATAACAGTGATGTACCAATTCAAAATTCATAGAGAATCAGTTCTTCAAAACCAAACATCGGTGAATTCAATAATTTACCTCCAGCAATGTACTCAACATTGTCCATGCCAGTCATCTCTTCATACCTGGGAAGCATTCATTAGATGTCAATTTACCGTTCACCTGTACCTCCACAGGAAAAAAATAAAGGACTATCTGAATCTCACGTCAGGGAAAGAGGGTTCTCTTTCAGTTCCAAACGAAGTGACATACTGACAGAGTGGCTTCAGTCAGTTGGCTATTTACTGCATTAAGTAGATTAATTAAGACACTCCAAACTCAAACCTCCTAGAGTAAGCCTCGGACAAGGCTAGCCCCCCTCCCCCCTAAAATGGAGGATACATTGATCCTAAAAGATATAGTGGTCCAAATGCCCCAGCAAATTAATTCACCATAACCATTTGTATAATTTTCCATTGAGCACTTTGCCCACTTGATTTTGTCAAATATTTTCTATTGATTCTGATACTACGCTCATAGAGAGGTAAAGCTTACCAGTCATGATTTCAAAGATACAGCCATCTTACATAAATCAGGTGAAGGCAGTTTCAAACAAATAGCAGAACAATGATAGTTTATGGGGCCGAACCCACAACATAACTAAAGAAAGAAAATCCACAGACGACAAAAATGAGCCAATTTTTTCTTCTCTCGTCCAGATTTACTGGATCAATAATTATAAGCAAAGGCAAAGAAAGAAAACTTGAACTTGGAACAAGACTGAAACTGCTTACATGGGTAAGTGTTTCTCCTCTGCCAGAATCGCATTGTTTAACTTGACATCGTATCTGCCACATCAGAAACATATAATTTTAAGAAAGAAAAAGTCCAACATGTAACAAAGAATATTAGGCAGCGTAGATCAGAGAAACATTAACTTAAGATTTCTTTTGCTAACAAACGACTTACAGAAACAGAGCAAATGGAACTCCTACAATCAACATAGTGAAACAAATCTAAGAAGCAGATAACCCAGAACAATGCACAGAAAAACTACCGACATGGACGAACTAAATAACTCTTTAGGCAGGCCTCCCGGGCATTCGATTTTTCAAGTTATCGAACTGTTATCGCATCAGCCAAATAAACAAGAGCTGCAAACTTTAGCGGGGGAAAAATGATTTTCCTTCAAAGCATTCGCACAATAGTCTAACTAGCTTGAAGATTAAACAGAAAAGAATCCCACGCAACAAGATCCAAATCATCTACCCAGGTTAAAACAAAAAATTATTTACCTAGGTTAGGATTGTAAGGAGCAGATAAACAGCGAGATCTAGGCTTGAACAGGAAGCTTTAAAAAATTGGCGTTAGAAGATTTAAGAAAACGTACTTTTGCAGGAATGCTTCGTCTACAGCAGCTGAGATGTCGAGAAGGGGGTTGCCCATACCCAGAAGAATCCCTTCGGAGACCATTGTGAATTGCTTGTTGCTTCTGGTCGAGAGAGAGAGAGAGAGAGAGAGAGAGATTGGGAGTTTAGATGTAGATGCAGATCTGATACTCAATTCCAATTTTTATAGGAGGGGAGGAGTGACGATGGGGTAGTCTCGATCTCACCAACCCATTGGCTGCCTAATGTTGAGAAATGTGGCTCTTTTTCGCATTTTATTGCCAGTTGCACTCTGTCTGGGCCCTAGAAATGTGGTAGGTTCCTATTTTTTAAAAATCAAGAAAATTTTGTAAAAAACCCTAAACAGAATATGTTTAGAGACAAGCCCACAAAATTTATGCCTAATGGGCCATAAGGCTACCTAATGAGCCTCATAACATGAAGTATTGGGCTTATTGACAACATGCAATCTAAGCCATGTGAATATGAATAATGTTGACTACAAAGTGGATACGTAGATGTAGCTTAAAAAGTCCTTCTTGAAAAGAACCGCAAAGCAGTCTCAAATTAATATAGAACTGGATTTATTGACTATTTAGATGTTAAACTGTTTGTAAATCTACATAATTTTATTAAAAAAAGATTCACAATATTTAACAGGAAGTCTAACTCAAACTTATTTCACTTTTAGATTGGTTATATAAGGTTGTCAATACTAAAATATCATATCAGCCAATGCATTATAAAGAAACCAGTGTCAAGACTCTATTAAAATTTTTTTTTAAAGTCAACTGTTGTATAAAAAAAATAAAGTAAAAGGAGATAAAAATATGCTAAGTTATCGAATAACATGCATTAATGTTCGTTTTAAAAGATTCAAGATGGATTTTTTATGTCATTTCCATACGTTATCTATAAGGGCTAAGGCAAATAAGAAAAGTGTGATTTTCTTTTGTCTTGCAAGAACATAGTTTACCATTTTGCTTAATATGAAAAAAAATAATATTAGTTTGCATAAAGTAACTCTTAAGTTGATAGATAAGTAAATTTTAGGCCAAGTAAAATGACAAAACTTTAAGAAAAGTACAGTAGAGAAAAATGTGATGGTAAGATTTAGCTTTTACATGATAAAATTCAGTTATTTCATAGATTTTCATGTATACTTGAAAAACATTTCAAGAATAATCTCTACTATAAAATTTATGGCGTTCCTTCTGAGTTGCATGTCATAAAAGGTTTTAATTGATATAAGGGGGTTAATGAGGAGAGTTGAAGACCAACTTGAGATACAGATAAAATGGTAAGCACTTTTTACAATAAGTTGGCCTAATTTCATATGAATTCATTTTCAATAATTTGTCATTTCATCTATATGAATCTTAGTTTAGAGAATAGCTGGAGTAGATTCATGATAAAAAATAATGTTGAATTAGACTCAAATTTCATGTGTTTGTTATACAATTTATGAGTTAGTTGACAATAACTAGGTTTGACTTGGGATTGTAACTAAGTTAAAGTTTCTTAATTTTTGGGATATAAATGTCATGTCAAACGTTTTTATTCGACTATTAGTTACTGTTTATACATAGTTGATTCTGGTAATGATTTTAGATAAAGAATATTTTCTTAAATGAGGCAATATACGGGTTTAGGTATAACAATAAAAATAATTATTCATTTGAAGTATTTTAACTTTTAAAATAGTAATCCATATTTTAGAACCATTGATAAAGATACTAAATATATTTTGACATTGTAGGATCCTTTGAAATTTCTTTGAAAAACATAATAAGATCTTTGTACTATGACTATTTTTATTTAATATATATATTTTTTATTTTGATTTAATATCACATGCTTTTTCATTTGAATTCTCAATAAGATTTAATAAAATATTAACAAATAAAAATAGTATTTATAAAGAGTATAAATACCAATGTTTCTTTTCTCTCCATGTACAAACAATTGATGTTGTACTCTATGTTTCTTTTCTCTCCATATTCTTCTAATTATATTGTATTAGTGCAAAATAGTTTTAAGTAATAATTTACTTATGCAATATTTTAAAAGTACACTTTAACATGTTTTTTCCTCTTCTATTAAAAAATAGATCAAAAAAAGAAAGTAGAATTATATAAATTTTAGTAGTACCAAAAAAATTTCACAATATTTGAATTGAGGATGCATTATTATTTTATTAGTTTTTATGTTAAAACTAGTCTTGTTTATTTACTATTTCAAAAAATTTAAATATTATTTTATAATTTGTGTCTAAATTTCTTTTAACACCGTTTGTTTTAGTTATATTTTAACGAAAATGCAGCAATATAATTTAATTTAAGCTTATTGAATGCTAGCATGGACACTGTGATTGTTAACCTAAAACCTTATCACCATCATTAATGAACCCGTGTTAATACTAGGATTATTGTTTTCAACTTAATTGGAGCTAGAGATGGTAAGACCCATCTAGATCTGCATGATTTCATCTAACCCAAACTCTCCATGGCAATTTTTTAATAAAACAATCGAGTTCAGAGTAAAGTGGGATTGGGCTAGAGGAAAATAATGATTCAGGCGGGACAATTTCAGGTTAAGTGTTCTAAACTCTTTCGAATTCGCCTCATAACATCCCTAAGTGGAGCTTTTATGATTCTTAGGATCCTTTTTGTTTGGACTCTCATCATATTCAAAGGATCCCCATTGATCAAAAATCAAGAGTTCATTTGCCACTTTTTTCAAGGTATCCTATTGTCTTCCTCCACCATCTCATCAAAATCAGAAGCATATCCAAAAGCAGAAGAAACAGCAAGAAGCTTTTTTGACGTCTTTTAGAATCGATTAACAATCCCTATAGCGAATCCGTTGACTCCAAAATGGACCTAGTTATAGATGAAGAATTAATTAATATAACAACAATCACAAGAAAAGATGGAGGTCGAGGAAGCAACCTTCAATACAACATCATCTAGTGACTAAATTTACCAACCCCCATTGGGATGGGACTTCATGTGGCGAATAGAGCTCTCATGGCTTGCGCAAATAATTAATCTTTTTTTCTTTAATTTTTAATATTATTTTATATGAAAAAATATAAAACTAGATTATATATTTAATGTCACATGAGAATTAGGTGGACATTCATTTAAAAAAATAACGAAAACATAACCACATTAGTGATTATGTAGACCTACGATTAACAATATTAGAAGAAACTAAAAAGAGAATAGCTTCTTTAAATCCATTTTGAGAATACATGACAAGTTGAACAAAAAATATAAATTTAAACATTCTAAAATAATACAATGAAAAATTATGCACTTAAAATTTATGAAATTACTAAACCCCAAGCACCGGGCTTGTATATTTCCGACATCATATGTACCGTGCACATGCTAAACTCAATTAAAGCTTCTTAAAATTTATATACAACCAAAAAAACGTTGGATTTCTCTAGGTGAAGAAAATTTAAGTTTTTATTAACTTGATTAAGTCAAAAATTAACAACTTAAAATAACTTTAAATAGGCTCATATTTAAATCAAAATTTTTAAAAATAATCTATCACAATTTAAAACATAAATATAAACTAAATATCTTAAGAGATAAACTCCCACTAATTACATGATATTTAAAAATGAATATAGTTTAAATATAATTAAAGATAAACTCTATTTGAATTTAAATTAATAAATAAAATAAATTATAATTTCTACATTAATCTTCAACACTCTTTCTCAATTTAAAAATTATAATAACCAAATTTGTCTTGTTGTAGCATCTCTCTCTAATATGTTTTGTTATATATTTTGAAACACTTTTTTTCAATTGTTGATGCATTTCTCACCAATATCTAATTATTGATGAACTTTTTATCATTTTTAATTATTGATGCACGTCTCATCAAAATCTGCAATTAATTTTCTTTGAGTACTTCTTTCTAAAATCTCTTGGAATCTTCTCTCTAATTTTCAAAAAGAAATTTTTTCTCCTTAAGCAAATTTACTTACTCATTCTTCAACCTGTAATTTTTTTTTTATCGTATATGTCACATTCCGTAAATCAAAAGATTGTATTTATCGTATATGATACTATTTATTGAGTTTTTTTAAGTGAAGAAAACTTAAATTTTTATTGACTTCATTTACTCCAAATTTAACAATTTAAAATACATTTAAATAAACTTATATCTAAATCAAATTTTTTTAAAATAATTTATCACAATGTAAAAGATAAATATGAATCAAATTTTTTAAAAAATAAACTCTCACTAATTACAAAATATTTAAAAAATAAACATGATTTAAATTTAATTAAAGATAAATTTTATTTAAATCCAAACTAATAAATAAAAAAATTATAATTTATACATTAATTTTTAACGAAAAAAAAAATAGTCCAACCAGCATGCACTGTTGCCAATAGACATGTTAGTTACTCTTGATTTTGCAAAAAAAAAATAATAATAATAACTTAGAAAATAAAAAGCTAACAACTTAGAAAATAAAAACATCTGGATCTAGATTTTATATTATAAAACTTGTGATCTATCAGATTTCAAAAAAAGATTTAATTAATGATTGAAGGCAAAACGCTAGCATTGGGACGTTCATTTATTCTGTGTTGGAAAGAAAATAATAAGAATAAGCAAAACAAACGCACGGCCAGCAATTTTCCATAAGAAAGTGCTTCAAGGACTGTCCCGTCTTGTTCATTCTTAGACATTCAATGGATCAGGAAAGGAAGTATCTTCATCAGATTATATTTCTCTGTAAATATCCATAATCCACATTGCTGTTGTTACTCAACTGGACAAGCTTCTCCAAATTCATCAAGGTTATGCTCTCTTATTCCCCTTGAGGAAAAAAACTAAAAAAAATAAAATATTTTCAGTTCGCAAACCATATGCTGAAAAAAATCTTTAAAGGTGATCACAGATAGCCTTCGTAAAATCTGTTGTTGATGAAGAGCCCCCAAGGTCAGCGGTTCTGTACTTTCCCTCTGCGATCGTATTGAGGATAGCATCTTGAATTCTATCAGCCTTATCATAAAGCTTCAAATGGCGCAACATAGTGACAGCACTCAACAGCAAAGCAGTTGGATTTGCCAAATTCTACAAAAAGTAAAGCACAACAAAGACAGCTTAGTGGCAAGCATATACTATCCAGAAACCAACTAAGAGAGCAATTTTTTTTTTTTTTTGGGAAAGGTAACCACGGATAATTTTATTGATTTAAAGAAAAACCTTCAGTTGCCCAAAAATTTACCATCCAAAACAAAACCAAGCCAACCAAAAACAAGACACTACTACTATACACAAATTTACAAAAAGGCAGCAAAAGGTTACATAAACCAGAAGCCAGCAGCAGCAGCAAGACTGCTGCACTTCAGAAGGACCAACTAAGCAAGCAATTTTTTTTTAAAATAACCAACTACGCAAGCAATTAACTGAAATATAAAGCATCCAAGGCAATAATTAATTAGCTGTGGCTCGAATTATAGGATTCCTGTAAAACCAATCCAGTAGAGATGAGGCACATTGCCGAAGGTATTAATAAAGGTAAGTTTGTCCCAGAAGTGGCTTATTTACTATGGAAGGTATTCTTTTGCAACATTTGAGTCTTCTCCTTCCGCTACATAAAACATTTTGAGTTGTTCCATGGAGTAGTCACATGACGGAACTCTCTCTCTCTCTCTCCCAGACACACACACGCACACACGTACACACTTTAACCTGTGTGTTGTCTGCGTATTTTTGGGCCTACCGCAGCTTTTTCACAACTGAAGATACTTTTGTGCTTAAGTCTACTCCTACTACATAAAAGATTGTGTCTAGTTCCATGGAATAAGCCATTTACCTTAATCTGCATGTTGGTGTGAGTATTTCCTCTACAACCTGTGCTACAGTAAAAAGTTATGCAGATCAATTTGTCGGTTAAGATGACAAGTGGATTATTTGAATTTCCCTTCAGTAGTGCCTATTAAATTTTACTTGGAAGTAAAATCATATTTTCTCTTTTGTTCAATCTCTTTTTTTTTTGAAATAACTCTTTTGTTCAATCTCTTAATTCTTCTTTTCTCATACTCACTGCAAAGTTTAGCGGGCTCGGGACATCAAGGATTTTAGGCCCATTAACCTTGTGGTTGATGAGTTGATATACGGAAAAAGGGAAGGGGTGCTGTGTAAGCTTGACATGGAGAAGGCCTATGATAATGTAAACTGGAGATTTGTTGACTATATGTTCTGGAGGCTGAGTTTTGGTGAGAAATGGAAGAGATGGATGAAGACTTGTATCAACACCACTTCTTCCGCGATCGTTGTTAATGGAGGCCCTTCATCTTTCTTCAAAACTCCTAGAGGACTCAGGCAAGATAATTCATCATCTCCTTTGCTCTTCGTAGTGGTGATGGAAGACCTAAATGGTATGCTTACTAGAGCCAAGGAAAGCTGACTTTTCAGAGAATTAAAAGTGGGGATAACGGATCGGGCTGAGGAGATAATACATTTATTTTTTGCAGATGATATTATGTTTTTTTGTGAACCAAAAAAGAGAGCTTTATTGAACATTAGATGTATCTTGATGGGTTTCCAAGCGGTTTTAGGGCTTAGTATCAACCTTGCTAAGTCTGAATTGATGAGATTAGGGTCAATAGGTGATTAAGTGAGTACGGCAAGGGCTTTGGACAATTGATCTGTCAATTTGTCTATCAAGTATTTGGATTCACCTCTTGATGCTAACTTCAAAGAGGTAAGGATGTAGGATCTGGGTGGGTGGATAAATTTGAGAAGAGGTTGGCAGGTCGACAGAGGGGTCTATTGTCAAAAGTGGGTAGACTTACACTCGTCAAGAGTACCCTGGGTAACCTACTTATTTACTACATGTCTCTATTAACCATTCCAAAAAGTGTGGTTAACCATTCCAAAACTGGAAGTCACACAGAACAGGTTCCTATGGGGTGACACGGGTGAGAGACGAGGGTATAATTTGGTGGCTTGGACTTGCGATCTTTGCAGGAGATGGATAAGGCTCTACAAGACAAATAGTTATGCGACAACAATGTGAAGGAAAATAATCGTAGCAAAATTTGGTATGGACAATACAAGTTGGTTCATAAAGAGAGTTCAAGATCACACAGGAAAAGCTTGTGGAAAAAGTTCACCCAAGGGAAAGATAATTTCCAGGAGTGTATATAGTGGAAGATGGGAAGGAGGGATAGACTTAGACCATGTAAAGGTCAGCGGCTGGAAGGGGGCACTTTGATGGCACATTTTCCTCATATTTATGTAATTGCATAGTAGAAAAGCATCAAGATTGTGACTCTCTAATGGCAATACTAGCGGCGGTGTGGCAGGTGCTTGTATCAAGATATCTCAATCATTGGGAGATTGGAAAATACAAGGACGAATCCTTTTGAAGAATGAGGGAATGATGAGGACATGGGTTCAAAAGACATTAAATAGAAGTATAAATTACAATACTAACAGCTCAAATCACAAGATTTCAAGCCAAAAATCTAAAATATATATTCCCAAGTCTTTATACAAAGATAGATACAACAAGAACTTAACACATGTGAATTGCTTGAAAAATCAAAAGAGCTAAAAAAAATCATTAATTTCGTCCAAATGTGCGGGCAGAATTTAAAATGAATGTCTAGGATCATTTTGGTCATAAATTCTATCCATGTTTTTCTAGGTAATTTAATACTATGTTTCCCTAAATCATTTAATATCATGTTTTCCTAAATCATTTAATATTATGTTTTCCTAGATCATTTCTTAAATAATTAAATTATGTTCTTATTTTCCTAACTAATCTAATTATGATCATTTGGCAAATTCTAGGTATTTTAGGTTATAAATATCTCATTTTCAATGTAATATGACATACTTTGGTTATTAAATGAATTTTATTGCCTTTGGTAGAACTTTGACAAGCGAGAATTCTAATTCTTCTTGTTTCATCAAAAATTGAATTAACTTATCAAGTTATCTTGTCGCATTTATTCACTCCTATTTCTTTCATCCTAACCACCCAAGTTCTCAATTACAGGTTAGTTATGGGTTTGGTGGGGAGGATTTGTTTAGAGTTCTGAATTATCTATATTAAATGTATATGTGGGATTCTGAATGTAATCTTTGATCAACAGGTTCTATATCAATTTACTATCAGAGCCTTGGCCTTTGATAAATCTCTAAGTATTCTTTATGTTTGATTTATCTAAGTTTATCTTTTTGTTCTTGTTTGTTTAGACTATTCAACTTCTATTCTTTACATTTTTAATTCTTGTTGAACCTTGTTCTTATTTTTCAATTAAGTGTTTTTTGTCTTTCATATTCTGTTCTTATTAGCCAAATTAAGAAAAAAAAAAGAGAAAAGGAAGAAAAGAAATACCACAATCAACTTCTATTGCAAATTCAAACTTATCTATTTCTTTGAGCATTAGGTCGTTGAACTTTCAATTATATCTTAGTTAAAGTGCATTCATTTCAAATATATTGTCTCATAATAATATAGTTTTTATTGTTTAGAGCGTAACTTAGATTGCGAATAGATTATAGGTTTGCATATTTAGATTTCTCATTAGGAGTGATTTGAATTCTATTATCATTAGTCCATAACCGTTTTCTTGCATTCTTAATTTCGCTTCTTCATATATCTCTTGTTTCCATTATACTAAAAGTAGTTAATTGCAACGTAATCACTTTAATTAATTTACAAAAATACGCCCACCTTAACCCATGTGTTTAGATTCTGTTCTTATTTATCCAATTTGCATATAGTGTTAACTGTTTATCTTTTCATTTATTAGAATTCTCTTAAGTGCCACATAAATAACTGCTTGTTTATCTTGATTGAGTTGTTTTCAATTTTGAAGTGCAACTTGAAGAAGAGAATAAAGTGGTAAAAGGCTTGAGAATGTGAGCTTAGAAGAAGATAAAAGCCAAAATCCTGAGTGAAAATACGAGAGAAGTGACAAATCTGTTTAAGAGTGAAACACATAAGGGAGTATTGTGAAGAATTTTCTTTACTAACTTTTTCTTGCAGGTTTTACATCATGTCAATTATGAAAGTGAAAAGCGTGAGATAACCATGAATGACATAGTCTTTATATTAGAAGTGTTGATATAAATATTTTGTTTCATAAATATTGTAGTATTTTCCTATGTAACTCTTACCATTAATTTCTCTCATAATGTTGTAATTATTTAAAATCTCAACTATAAGAGTAATTTCTCTATTTGTATTCGGAAATTTTGTATATATATATGTGTCGTCTGTAACACCAAAATTGTAGTAAAAAATAAAGTAAATATTTTTTCTCATATTTCTGTATGGTATTAGAGCAAAATAAGAGTATTTAAGGATTTCAAATTTAGAGTTTTTTTTTTAAACCCTAGAATATTCTTAACACTCACCCAAACGGAATCACAGCCTCACCACCGGCCTACCACCCTTCTCCAGTGAGTGTCTCTGCCCTACCCGATCGCCTTGCTCCGACTATTCGCGCATAGTGGTATCACAACAGCTGCTTCACACTTCCTCTTCGCGCCTGCCAGACCCAATCCAGATCTCTCCTACTGGTTTTGCTTCATGCACGACTCTCTCCTTTGCGCACAGCTGTTCGTTCGGCCCTTCATGCAGCAGCCGCTTTGTGTTTCTTCTTCATGCACGCCTAACCCGACCCAGTTCTCTCCTTTGCGCATAGCTCTCTCCATCGCACTATCCATTCGTGCACGACTCTCACTTTCGCGCATCAAAGATTTGGTCTTGTCCGACCTATCTGCTCTTATTTGCGCACGACCGTTCATGCAAAAGGCTGCTTCGCGTGCGGGTTTTGCTGGTTTCACGGCAGGATCCTACTTGTTTTGCTTCTCAGTTCAGCTGCATGCAGGTTTTCATGCGAGCTGCTGGTTTTGCTTCTTTGTTCCACCGCACACAGGTTCTTTTGCCGCCGTTCTTTGGTGGTCGTGATCTGGCTAGTATTTTTCACTGCTGAATTCACGGTGTTGCTCCTCTTCTGCTTTGGATTTTGTGATATTATTCCTCTCATATTCATGGTGTTGTTCTCCGGTATCGCAACATTTTTTTTGACTTCTATGTTGTTTTG